GTGAGCTGAAGCTTATTTATTTTTTTGGCTGAACTATATGAAATTTATTTGAATTTCCAAGCTTAGTAGTTTGGTTTATTTAATTATGACATGTGTCTGATCCAAAGCAGCGGCATATATTTTGATTCTAAATATTGTGCTTCCACCGTATCTTTCAGTCTGTTTCTACTGCAAAACACAGACCAAGCTTGCAGGCCATGTCTTTTTTTTTTGCATGTATTAAACATAATTCACATGTATTGCACACATTTAGAAGGGATAGAAATTCTGTCATTGTTTACTAGGGCTGTGCAATTAATCGAAAATCGGTTTGGATTTTGGCTTCTAACGATTATGAAAAACCATTACGATTATTCCATCATATACCGCCCCCTTTCCAGTTGTACACTTATTGCTCTGCAAAGCTCAGTTCCACGTCAAAATGACTAAAAGCATGTGCTGTAATGTAACTTTTGCAGCACGAGATGCACATCATTCATATTTTTAAAGGCGCAAAAGAGCACATGCGGCTGTGTGAGCGCGGCGTTTAGTGATTATTCATATTAACCCTCATTTGTGTAATAAACAAACAAGTTGAGAATCAAGACATGTGAAAGAGAAACCATATCAGAGCCGCACTATTCTTATCTTTGCTATGATGACAGCACATCATATTTTACTAGATATTTTTCAAGATGCTAGTGTTCAGCTTAAAGTGACGTTCAAAAGCTTAATTAGGTTAAAAAAGCAAGTCATTATATAACAGGAGTTTCTTCTGCAGGCAATCAAATATATATGTTGCTTAAGGGGGCTAATAATATTAAGCTATTAAAATAGGTTTCAAAATATTTAACCTGCTTTTATGCTAGCCGAAATAAAACAAATAAGCCTTTCCTCAGAAGAAAAAATATTATGGGAAATACTGTGAAAAATTCCTCTGTTAAACATAATTTGTGAAATATTCATATATATATAAATAAATAAACAAAAGGGCGAATAATTTTGACTTCAACTGATGAATAATCGTGAGTATAATTCTGACAAAAATAATCGTGATTATGATTTTTCCCATTATCAAGCAGCCCTAATGTTTACTCATCGTTGGCTTGTTCCATACCTGGACTGTAAAAAAAAGAAAAAAGAAAAAAAGTTGAGTCAACGTAAATAGTCAAATGCAATACTTGAGTTAAAAGTTGAGTCAACTCAAAAAAGCTGTGCAGCAAGTTGTCTTACTATTTTAGGTGGAGTCAACTTTTCTTTTTACAGTATTTGAGGTTTTTTCTGTTGAAAACAAAATAATATATTCATATTAAAACGCTGGGAAACTGTAACCATTAACTTTCATTGTGTTTGTTCTTTCTGTTATGGATGTCAATGGTTTCCACTTTTCCAGCTTTTTTCAAAATATCCACTGTTAGGTTCAGCAGAAAAAAAGAAATCCAAAAATAATGGGAACAGCGTAATACATAGTGAGTGAATGTTCATTTTTGGGTGAACTATCTCTTTATGGGATATTTGTGGTCAACCTAGAGTTTGAGGATGTAAAATTTGGTTTGACGTTGGTCCAAAAGGGGCCGGATTAAACAAGTTGAAGCATTAAAAATGAGCGATTGTTGTGTATTTTAAAGTGCAGAGCAGTCACGTTTTGAGCTTCTACTGGTCTCGCACATTCACAACATGAGTACTCCCAGTGTTGGAGTTCACCAAACTTAAACGCAGTATCATGTGAAACTTATCTCTAGGGTTGCCAAAAATATTGAGTTTAGTACCAAGCGGTACTGTAATTTTAAAAACGTTAGGGTTCAAATGTCTACAAATTGGTACCAAACTCGATACTTTTGGCGACCCTACTTGTCGCATGAACTTGCTTATCTGATCTGGCGCATCGACATACATATGAATTGGATATGCTGTAATACTCAATATAATATAGTGTTCAATACGATCTCCGCGGTTCAATATGCATAAGGAATTTGTGTTTTCTTTTTTACCATTTTTGCATTTAAATTGTAGTTTGCATTTTACCCATTTCTTTAATTACTTTCTGAACTGGCTCTGTGCAAGCTAGAATATGTGTCCCTGCGCTGAAACATGCGATTAAATGTCCCATCATTGAATGCTAAAGTTCAGGATTCTTTCACGTGAATACATGGGACCCGAAGCCCATACCGTAGGTATCTATATATGATTAAAAGGGACCTATTGTGCTAAAATCCCTTTTATAAGGTTTAAGTATACCAAAACTGTGATCCTAAAACAAAAAACTGAACCAAACCATAAGAGTCTGTATCGTTGCACCCATGTTATGAATGGAAATCAATGAGGTGAAAAGTGCAGCGTCTGATCGATTGATATTATATATAGAAGGTGGTAGACATTTACTTTAGGTTCTTGATTCCTGTTCACCCGGACCATAACCTTGACATTGCTAGCATCATGCTACACCTTTTGAAGCTACAAAAAACTGTTGTTGAGTAAAAGTACTGTTGCTATAAAGTAATTTTAGTATCGTTTATGCCAAAGTTCTGAGTTATTACCATATGTTTGGAGTTTTAATAATGGTTTATGCACTTTTGGTTACAAATGTTACTTCATCTATGAACGAAGACGTGTTTGTGTAAATATATTTTTCCAAATAGGTCTCCAATTGAAGTGTTCTTTATAATTGAGTTAATTACATGTTGTGCTTCATTACTGCGTTTACTTGCAAATGCACACAGAGACGTTGACTTTAGAGGACGTGGTAATCTTGCTGAAGTCCTTGAAGGCTAAAACTGTGGGCTGTGATCTGACTCTCCGAAGGAAAGGAGACGGATTGCCTCTGATCTGCCCGACACACTCCCTCAGGCCTTTTTAGCAGCAGCATGTGTGTGTGTGTGATTCTCAGGGGCTGTATTGTTGAGTTTTAGGGCATTTCTGCTTAATGCCGGGAGAACATAGTGACAACGTGGTTACATTTTCATTTAAACCTCACTATAATATCCAAATATAGTCAACATCATGTCCTGCTATGGATGTCATTTTTCTGACATCTGACTGTTGTTTAACAGTAATTGAACCATGCAGGAAATGTTAATTATTTTAAGCACAATATGTACAATTTATTTGTTAAAATATCCAAAAACCACTAGGTAACACTTATTTATTTTTATATTGCTGACCTGTGTACTTGCGTTATCCCAAATGTTTAGAAGAATGTTCAAATCTAGTTTGTGTTCATGCTAGTGACGCCACACAACCGTAATTTCCAGATTAGTTTGATATAAAACAGTAGGGGTGTCACGATTTCGATTTTTAATAAAATTTATGCTCAATTTCGATTATCGAATCAAAAAATAGAATCGTCGATGCTGCCACGCCCCATGTCACGTCAGCTTGGCTTGCCAAGCGGGAAAAAAACAGGCTTGTTGAAGTGCTTGTTAAACTGCAGAAGCAGGAGACCCGTCGACAGAGCTTAAATCCTCTCCTCTTTCAATGAAGTCGCCGGTGTGGAAGCATTTTGGATTTCCAGTGAGTTATGTTGACAACGTTCGTGTTGTCGACAAAAAAAAACACAGTTTTGCAAGCTCTGCTATGTACGTATTACGGTTCGTCCGATAGACAACACCAGCATCGCGATCCTCCGCCCGCCCCCGTTGCAAATCCGCTCACGAAAAGTACACACTCAGACCCTGTTTACACTGTCTTTGTTTTTAAATGGCATTTTAGAACAACAACGATTTGACATCCACAGTGGCGTGTAGCATTTCTGAGCAGCCCTCCTTCCTCTCTACCTCTGAAAATGCACATCACGTGACCACACAGACACAGACGCACACACAGCCATGCGCTTGAGACAGCAGGTCCAGGCAGTCAGAGGACTGCTTCAATCTTTCACTCACTTGTACTTTGTCATTTTAGCGAACACCTCAGATACTGTTGGCTGGTTCCTGTTGGTTGTGTGTCTTTTTTACCGACGCCATTATAACGACACCGATCACTGCCTATTCACGAGTCTCACAGAAAAAGTGATTGACAGGTGGTAATTATGTGTGTGTCTTGCCTTTATTCATTTACTGTATGATTTGTTTATGGGTAAAACAAAGACCATGCAGGTCAGGTAGTTTAAACGGTAGGCTACAAATGATTAATTGGTCATTCATTAATTAATTATTCATAATCGAAAATCGAATCGAATCGTGCCTTTAGAATCGAAAATGTAATCGAATCGAGGATTTGGAGGATCATGACACCCTTATAAAACAGGAAAACAGCAGCAAGGTCTTAATAGGGTATATGGAGAATAATACTAATAATTTCATACATTTATATCGCGCTTTTCTGAACACTCAAATCTTTTTACACATTTTTGGGGGAGAATCCCAATCACCACCAGTGTGCAGCATCCACCTGGATGACGCTATGGCAGCCATATTGTGTCAGACCACACAACACCAGATTGGTGGAGAAGAGACAGAGAGATGAAGCTAATTATGATCATGGGGATGGTTAGGTGGCCATGATGGACAGAGGCCAGTGGGCTGATTTGGCCAGAAAACCGGGGTTAAACCTCTAATCTTTTTCGAAGGACATCCTGGGATTTTTAACGACCACAGAGAGTCAGGACCTCGGTTTAACGTCGCAGGGCGTACTCGCACTATATACAGTTGCCTTGGAAGGGGCCGAAGCACGCTTGTCCCCCCTCCCCGTCTCCCCTGATGGCCCATTACATTCAGGCCTGGGCACGCTTACGTCATGATGATGGGCGGTTCAGTAAGCGCTCTCGCTCAGCACAGAGGAGATTTCTTTAGTTATATCGTTTTAGTCGTTTGTTATGCAGTGACACGCAGTCAAATATTTCGCAGAACTGTTTAACCACTTTTGACGCTTATAAACAATCGTAAAGTGCTCGTGCTGCACATATTAGGAGGGTTGCTGAAGGTGCAGCTGTCGTGCAGTGAGGGGTTTGCGTCTTTAATAATCTACGAATGTTTGCGTTCAATCAACAGTAAGAAAGATTAATAAATCCATATGAAACAATC